CGGGAGCTCTGCGGGCTGGCAGGGAGAAAGCCGAGGTCCTAGTCCCACCTTCTCATGGAAAGCACACATTGGTGATTTACGGACAGGCCACTTTTCAGAGCTAAGGAATGGCAGTTCCCTCCAATAATAGCAGCCTTTTGGGGTATTCAGCAAGGCTGAGAAGGAAGCCCAGATAAACAGTTTGCTCTCTTCAGGAGCAGGATTTAATACACTTGGCCACACAAGTCGCTAGGGTAAAGCCAGAAGTAGTGCCCTGTGCTCCTCACCTAAAACCCTGGGTTTCTGCCACAAACCTGCACGCTCTCCACACACAGTAATGCACAAAATAAACAAAAAACCCTCATATCAATTGTGTGTGTTTATATGTAGTTACCAGAGAGAGAAAGCCTTGTATCTTGCGTGTATACATTTTTGTCTCTATTTCTGTGGCATGGAATAATAAACACTTGACTGCAATAAGTGCTGAGTACCACGAGTTCCCATTCAAGTCTGTGGAACCTCTGCCTGCTCAACACGTATGAAAGCAAGAGCTTACAAACTGGAAGATCACGTACTTTATCTTGCCCTAACGTTTCTTTCTGCTGAATGATGCCTTTCATCCAACAGGATAAACAGCACAACAAAACAGAGCGAGCCGTTTGCCGAAATGCAACCTTCCAAAACACATAGCGCTCCAAAACTCTCACTAACGGAGCTCGCAAAGCCCAAGTAACTCATATTGCACCTTTCACAATATCCCAGCTATCCTGCAGAGTTGTGCACGCTGTTTACTCTTCTTACTTCCCTCACACACACACAGAGCACCGTCGTTGCCGTTTTCAGAAACCCTCCGCTCACTCTTGTTGCTGCAGGAAGGTTTCCTTCAGCTGGGACTAGTCACGGGTCTCCAAGGAGGGCAGCACTGGTGCAGCAGGGATCTCCTCAGCTTGTTTGCTACTCAGGTCATCTCTGCTGCCTTTACATCATACTGGTGTATATATTAGGCTTGTGTGGTAACCTGTGTACAAACAGGCACTTAAATTGCATATAGTTTGTTTTCTCTATTCTCAGCCAGCCTTTGAAACTACAACCATTTTGTGGCAGTGTCTTTGTTTTCACCTACAGCTGCAAACTCAGAGAGCGTAATGAACTCTGCTGCAAAGAAAAAAGAAATATTCAAGGGATGTTTATGGCTATCTTGCATCATATACAAGTCTCCACATCAATTTCACCTTGCCTTTCTTGTTCACACGCTTGCTAAAAGTGGCAGGCTTTCTCATTCCTTGGCAAAGCAAAATACAAATAAGTAAATGGAAAAAAAAAAAATTAAGTTTTTGGCACTTTTCCTAAAAATCATAGCAGGGATAAACTGTCATCCAGCTCGCTGTAAAAGCATGAATGTGAAGTCAAACCATTTCCCTCCAGTTAATACAAGTTCCTTCCACTTTTTCCCAGTCCAGCACAGCACCTCATGGCAAAAAAAA